GAATGGTGTTCCCGCGTCCATAAGTACTTTGCATGTTGGGAAATGGCAGAGGTTTCTCTAAGAACCATAACACACGTTTTGTGCAGAATGCCCTGACATTGTCATAGGCAACACTGACAGGCTACCAATGGTTTTGTAACTTCAGTAGATTCAGCTCCTGTATGCTGCCAACAAGAAAAGCCAAGTCCATGAGCCATTTGGGATCACTTAGTACAGGAATAACCACCCCATCCTTCTCCATGTAGGCTTTAAATGCTAAAACGTGTTCAAACAGTAGGCAGGAGCAGGCAATATTTATGAATTATAGATGCGCAGTAATGTGTTATTGTAGGGAGAATGAATTTTGATTACGTTTTTTGTCGTGGAAAAGGCCTTTTTGACTAACCCTATTTTGAAAGTGACCAAGCTGTCAGGCTTGGAATTTCCCTCACTTGTACACACTAGCGGCAATTTTATACGGATTTTTTTATACTGTGTCAGTTTGCTACGAATTACATAATTATGGTTGTGCTTTACCCACTTACTGACTTTTTAAACTTTTCTCAAAACCGCACTTTAACCGCCATGTTTGTCTCATGAAATGCTATAAAATAAAAACTTTTAGTCTGATGTTAAAATATTTGTACCATTATAATCAACGTCCAAATCTATACAAACATAATAAAATCAGAATTAGATTAGTCCGTGAGTCCGTCGCGGAGAGTCACATATAAATATGAGAATGGGGAAAACGTGCGGGCCGCATTAACACTAAACATTGCTGTCATGTAGCAGGCCGCAAAATATCGCCTTGCAGGCCGCAAATGGCCCGTGAGTTTGAGACCCCTGCCCTAATCAGACCGACTCAAAAGTCAACAACAGGTTCTCCCTAATCAGACCGACTCGAAATTTAACAACGGGTTCTCCTTCATCAGACCGACTCAAAATTTAACTACGGGTTCTCCTTCATCAGACCGACTCAAAATTTAACAACGGGTTCTCCTTCATCAGACCGACTCAAAATTTAACAACGGGTTCTCCTTCATCAGACCGACTCAAAATTTAACAACGGGTTCTCCTTCATCAGACCGACTCAAAATTTAACAACGGGTTCTCCTTCATCAGACCGACTCAAAATTTAACAACGGGTTCTCCTTCATCAGACCGACTCAAAATTTAACAACGGGTTCTCCTTCATCAGACCGACTCAAAATTTAACAACGGGTTCTCCTTCATCAGACCGACTCAAAATTTAACAACGGGTTCTCCTTCATCAGACCGACTCAAAATTTAACAACGGGTTCTCCTTCATCAGACCGACTCAAAATTTAACAACGGGTTCTCCTTCATCAGACCGACTCAAAATTTAACAACGGGTTCTCCTTCATCAGACCGACTCAAAATTTAACAACGGGTTCTCCTTCATCAGACCGACTCAAAATTTAACAACGGGTTCTCCTTCATCAGACCGACTCAAAATTTAACAACGGGTTCTCCTTCATCAGACCGACTCAAAATTTAACAACGGGTTCTCCTTCATCAGACCGACTCAAAATTTAACAACGGGTTCTCCTTCATCAGACCGACTCAAAATTTAACAACGGGTTCTCCTTCATCAGACCGACTCAAAATTTAACAACGGGTTCTCCTTCATCAGACCGACTCAAAATTTAACAACGGGTTCTCCTTCATCAGACCGACTCAAAATTTAACAACGGGTTCTCCTTCATCAGACCGACTCAAAATTTAACAACGGGTTCTCCTTCATCAGACCGACTCAAAATTTAACAACGGGTTCTCCTTCATCAGACCGACTCAAAATTTAACAACGGGTTCTCCTTCATCAGACCGACTCAAGCAAGTCGCTGCTCCCCACTTCCAAAATGTCCTAGCTCCCAGCGCATTCCATTAGCATTTAATCTATGCCAGCGTTTTTTCAAGCTTTTTTTTTTTTTAAAATCTTGCAGCACTCAAATTAAGCAAATGTCAAACGTATTATTGTTATTATCTTGCACCAATCAATTCTACGGTACAACTACAACACTAAATTTTAAAAAAAAATGCTTTTGTGGCGTGGAGTAGCTCACTTCCAAGGAAATTCTGTCCTGGGTAGTATTAATATTTTCTACAACAAATATTGGGGTAAACATCCTCAAATAATTTTTTTTAAAAATTCGTACGGTACAACTTGTACTACAAGTATGAATTAGAATTTGAAAAATACAGTAAAGGGACACAGAAAATTATAAGAGAAGATTTTTTTTTTTTTAAATGCAAATAATTGCAGTCAGTTATTGGGTGGGGTTGGAGGGGGTGCTATTTAAAAAAAAAAAAATTAATTGTTTACTTTATTTTAAAAGTAGTAATTTAGAGTGAAAAGGCTACACTTATTTTCCTTTAATGGAGAAAAGTTTAAAGTTAAGAAACATCAAAAAATACAGTAAAGGGACACAGAAAATTATAAGAGAAGATTTTTTTTTTTTTAAATGCAAATAATTGCAGTCAGTTATTGGGTGGGGTTGGAGGGGGTGCTATTTAAAAAAAAAAAATTAATTGTTTACTTTATTTCAAAAGTAGTAATTTCGAGTGAAAAGGCTACACTTATTTTCCTTTAATGGAGAAAAGTTTAAAGTTAAGAAACATCTCAACTGAATTAGTCACCGGAAAAAAAAAAAGGAAAAAAAAGGATTTTGCCTTATTTGAAACAGCCGATATTGTTGTTGTTGTGATTCGATTGAATGTCATATTAATTAGTCTGTGTAGTGGGTCCTAAGATAAATAGGGTTTTTTTTTTTTTAAACTCGAGAATTGCTGAGCTCTACAAAGTGAACATATTTCTTTGTTAAACTTAAAATAAATTCTAGTCTTAATATGAGGAATGATTTAGTATCAAACTCAGAATTATGTCCCAGTGTGTAGCTCCAAAAAAAATCTTCATAGTATTAAAACAAAATAATGAAAACCATTAAAAAAAAAAATACTAACTAAAAAAAATACTAATTATTTCAGGTGCAGCAATCATGAGTAATGTCCCCTTAAAAGGTTGCACGGCCTGTAAGTTGAATAGGGTTCACTGAGGGTGACCGTACGAGAACATACAAGTGCTCAGGGCAAGGAACTCATGCTTGTGAACACAAAGCCTTTTGCGTGGGGGGTTGGCGTGGAGAAGCCTTACGTGTGGGGTGGGGGTGGTGAGCATGGGATTATTTCCTAAGTCGGTGCAGAACGATTGGCTTAGTCAACTGACAAGAAAATTGGATAGTGAAGAAAAAAATATACGGCAACTATATAGATATATATATTATCAATTATTGTTTCCAGAGAATGAGTGAAATAGAAGTAGATTGTATGGGGAGACAGCATTGGGTGAGTGCTACATCTTCTGGGGCAGTATGTCGCACATTTCAGCACCAGGGATTACATTGTCAGGAATAGGCCAGATTGCTAGAAGTAGGTCAGATTGGTAGCAATTAATCACAAACGTAGAAGTGGGTCAGAGGGGTCATTCATTGGGAAACAAACAAAAAAAAAATGACAATAGCATATGTCAAATAATTAGACAGCCATCTTTGAGGGAAGCAGATCCATTACACGTCAGACAGCCATTAGGTTGCAGTTAGACTTGCAGTTGCGGGCAAAAGAAAAGCATTCATGATTGTTCTATTGCCGGGAACAAGATTGCTTCATGGACATGCGTTGCTCATTCCCTCCCATAAGAATTCGTGCGATATTTTACTTCATAATCTCAAATCCTTTTAACATACAGAGAAGTTGAAGGTCAAAGCGAACGTAAAAAAATAAATAGAATCAGGGGTTTTGTACCGCTCCCAACTGCAGTGAGAAAGTGGCACCTGTACTTCCTTATTACTATCCCCATATTCTTTTCGAAATCTTGAGGTTCGTGTAAAAGGCATCCCCTAAAAAACTACTGAGCCTCACATCCTCTAGAGAAGTCTCAAAGCTTGTAGTTCAAATTAGAAAATAAATACCCGTACTTCCAATTTAAAAAAAAAAAATCAGATAACTGTAGAACTTATTAAAATATTAACATGAGTTGTTGGTATACCCGTATTGTTATTGCTTAAATTAACATAAAGATGTTATAACAAAATTTATTGCGGTAAAAACATTAATATCGTTTGACTCAAAAGTATATGGGTCTTTTGGTTTCATATGTTCCTCGCACCCTTAAAATAACAGTACCCATTTTTTTTTTAAAGTAAGTAATCACAATCACAATGTTCTGTAGAAACCAACGGTTAAGGATAGTAACTCCTATATTAATTTTTAAACTGTATAAATTATAAAACTTTTGCCTCCCTTTATTCTCAATTTGCATTTTCATATGGTGTCTGTGGGGGCCAGTGAAGGAAGTGTCTCTTAGTATTAGAAATATACAGTATAGGAAGTGTCTCATAGTATTAGAAATATACAGTATATGAAGTGTCTCTTAGTATTAGAAATATACAGTATATGAAGTGTCTATTAGTATTAGAAATATACAGTAAAGGAAGTGTCTCTTAGTATTAGAAATATACAGTAAAGGAAGTGTCTCTTAGTATTAGAAATATACAGTATATGAAGTGTCTATTAGTATTAGAAATATACAGTAAAGGAAGTGTCTCTTAGTATTAGAAATATACAGCATATGAAGTGTCTCTTAGTATTAGAAATATACAGTTTAGGAAGTGTCTCTTAGTATTAGAAATAACGGTACATATAAAAATAGTGACATGCCAAATTATTAACGTAAATCTGAGGAACATACAAACTTATAAAATAATGTATTGCTCCACATGACCCAACCATATATATATATATATATGTATGTATATAGGAGACCATTTAACTTTTAGCAGTGCACATAATTATTGTGAAAGTTATAAAAGTGTTACATTTTAAAAAGCTATTCAGCCTGAAATACTTAAATTGTCTGAAGACAAAAAAATTTCAGAAAAGAAACAAAAAATGAGAACAAAGAACAAGACATAAACAGACTTTTAATCATGTTAACAAAAATTTAAAACAATAATAAAATTTCTTTAGCATAACTAAATTGATGAACACACAATTTATTTTACACCAAAAGAAATACAATAAACTTAAAGTCGATGCATTTTTATAAAGCCAAAACACAATTATTTTTTTTTGCAAATGACCAAAATACACATACAAAAATAAAATTTAAAAAGCAGAAATCAATCATTGACATTTTAAAAAATTTCATTTCATAATTTCTAGATTTAAAACAGCTTTAAACTTAGATGGCTTTCCTATGATAATCTGGAGTTGCTATTTCATAGTTTGAGATCTTGAAAAGGCTAGGCCCATTTTTGGACAAATACCTGAAATATGAAAGAAACATAAAGTCATATTATCAATGCCAGTGCATCAATCTATGGGGGGGGGGGGGAAATGGACAAAACACAACAAAAGCTTTACAAACCAATCAACACACAATTCAATTAATGATACATAGTTGTAAATAGCTATTTGTTGTAGTGTATAACAGCTATTCCTTTTTTTCTGTGATTACTATATAAACTTAGAGTTATTTCAATATTTATAATGACTGTGATTGTGACTACGCTATAAGTGCGAATAACATGGACTCTAATACTTATAGAGACTAAGATGTTAAGTGTTTGAACTGGGGAATGACAACAGAAGCTTTTAGAGCAACAATTCAAAATGATCTACATTTTCACACTTACTTGAGAAAATCGTGGACATGATTTAATAAAATGTGGACTGTACGTTCATCAAGGGATGTGTATGCCAACATAGAACCTAGACGAACTAAGAAAGGAGAAGTCGTAAGAGAAATGAACCTACTGTCATGTGCTTAGCTTGAATAAATTGGAAACCGTTAAACATATCTCATTGTCAAAACGAGATGAATTTTGACAATGTTCCATTAATAATTATATCGGTACATAAAATACAGAATGCTTACCAAATAACCTGAGAAAGTGTATGGCCCCATATATGCTGGACATCGGCTTATCTCCATTTTCTTGGAGTATCTGTAACATATCAAATATCACAGGAACTATTATCTCTATTGAAATGAAAATTGACAATCTATATAATGCAACTTTAAAGAGGTTGTCCATAACAGATGTCTGCACAAAATACACATTTTTCTACCCCTCCGCCTTGTCCATATATGGCTTTACCCCATCACCCCTTGTTGCAGACACATACGAAAATTTACAGTGCAAAATACAGGTAAATATGATAAAAATTATGAAGTGTTAAGAGCCACTAGAATAAAACTTCTAAATCAGTATAATATGGGACCACTACTGATTATGTATGTACAGCAACAAAACAAAAACAAAATGGGGGGGGGGGGGTATTTTGGAGAGATGAACATAGGGGGGTAGGGGGGGGTGATCTGCAGAAAGTATGAACATTTAAAAATTATTCTGAAATTCTCTAATGTCTATTACATAAAAATGGGACCACTACTGATTATGTATGTACAGCAACAAAACAAAAACAAAATGGGGGGGGGGGGTATTTTGGAGAGATGCACATAGGTGGGTGGGGGGGGGTGATCTGCAGAAAGTATGAACATTTAAAAATTATTCTGAAATTCTCTAATGTCTACTACATAAATAAAGCTCAGTGTGACCATTTCAATTTGTTTTTCAATGGGTCGATAAATCACAAGACAAAATAATGGATCGCAACCAAATTTGTAATGGTCGTTCCTTCTGACCTAAACATGGTTCCTGGAAATTTTGGTCATTATCCCAATAGCTGTAAAATAAAAATGTAAAATGAAGAGGGTAAAGAGTTAAACAATATTATCTTCAAAGGGCTTCAATAGATGTTCCCCTTAAGCCATTTTTTAGTGTATGCATTTTTCATAAGGTTTTATTCAGAATAGTGTGCTTTCAAACATCTACTAAAGCTTCATTATCATTTCAAAATAATAATATCCAAATTTTTGTACAGCAGGGTCCCCTTCGTCATCAGATTTTAAATGGACAATTTAAAATATAAACTTTGTTACCGACCTAAAATACTCACTGCTTTAAATATGGAGGATTAACTTTCTTTTGTCACCAGGGGCCCAAATTTAAAAGGCAAGATCTTTGTGAATCCGTTCCCCTTTTGATGGGATACATTTGAAAATTTGACTTAAATATTTATTACAATGAAATTCAATGATTTTTATAGTTCCTTTATATCAGGGTAAACTCAAATGGCCATTTAGCAAAGGGGATCATACTTTATTTCATGGATAAATTGACATGGCTTTGGCGAATACATTTTTGAATAAGAGATCTTTTTAAAGTTAGCTTTTTTTGATAATATCTGATTTCCCCCTTATTTTATCTTATATTTTATTTATTTCTAATCTTTTATGGTTCCTGTTAATCTCATGAGCAAATACTTTGATTTCATGGGACACTTCCGTAATTGAATATGTCAACCATTTCCTGTCAAATAGATATCTAAAAGTTGAATTTATCCATCTCTGCACTATTTCTAGCAAAGACTTCTTGGCAGACACGTCCACCTTTTTCAGGTGTTTCTTTACCATGTTTATATTTCTTAATAACAGACCTGTTTACTCTTACGATTTTGGCGTACAATGTACGATTTTTAGGCGTAGAGGTTGTATATACTGTTTATTTTTTACTATAAATATAACGTATTGAACGATTTTGTGACGATATTCTACGATTTTAAGAGTTTGAGGGTAAACAGGTCTGTAATAATAATAAATTACGACAGCAAATTTCCACGTTCAATTTTCAAACTGAACTCTGGGGAGAATTTCTGAAAGCCATATTCAATGACATAAATTTAAACTAGACTCCTAGACAAAGGTGAAGTAAAGAAAATAAATGTTTTTGATGCAGCCCCACACTGCCTCACAGGGTCATGTGACTTACTTCACTATATTGTGGTCTTTCAAACTTATAGAGCAGCTGAGCACCTAGCATCACATTGAAATAATCTTTACAGCCAAGCATCGTCTCCACCATAGCATCTCTGTAACACAAGGCGTTGTTAGCAGGCAGTAAGGGATTAAAGGGAAAAACTAACTATGCAATGCATATCGTCTTATTTATAATTGACAGAAAGTAAGAATGTTCATGGGAAAGGATTAGTTCATTTTTTCTTAATTTCCCAAATACCGCAAAAGCAAACATTTTTGTGAACTTTATAAATCACTTACTTGTTTATGTTTGATGTTTTTGTTGTTTTTGTCCTGATGTAGTCCTCAATAATATCATCCACTGTTTGCTTACAAGGCAAACTCACAAGCTGGACATTGAAACAAAACAAACAAATTTGATAAATTCACCATGCATTTTCCTAGACACCATATTGCCCGTTAACCACCCTGTCAAATAACACAAAAATTCTATCTAATTGTACTTTCCTTCTCTGCTTACTCTAAATAATAGATTATAATAGATTAATAGATAGTAGAAATAATGTATTTGATTCACGTATGAAGTCAAAGCTTAGTCATCTGTTAGGAAGATCATTTTTAATATTTTGATCCTGCTTTGAAATGAGTGGTAAAAGGAAACAAATAACTTTTTTTTAAAAACTAGAACATTGATCTAAAGTAAGTAGCGAACAGGGCAAGTGAAAAGAGCCAACAACTTTTTAATAAAATCATTGTCTAGAACTAGAATAAACTTCCATACATAATTTCAATGAAAGGCCAACTAAGAGATAAGAAAAATACAAAGTAAAAGAAAGTGGCCTATGCATCCATGATGGATAATCTGGTGCTGACCTTTATGTCACAAGCTATTTTGAAGTTTGAGATAAAAAAAAACAAGACAATTACACAGAAGCTTTGGGTTATTGTCTTGCTTTGCAAACTTGTACAAATTTTGTGGCAAATATGCCCTTTATATCTATGGCTTATGTCTTGTCCAGTTTACCTGCAGTCTTGGCAGAAGAACACTGAAAATCAATAACGGAAACGAAATACCATTTTTTGTCTAGTAATCAAATCCCAGTCATCAACAAGGACAGGTTTCAAGTCTTCAGGAATCTTGATTTTTACTTCAATCTTTGATAGATACGTCTCTTCCTAAAATAAACAAAATTAAATTAATTTCCCTAAACTCGTAAGACGGTTAGTACTATTCACTATTAAAGATTTTCACAAAAATAAATCACAGTGAGTCTTAAGGCCTTATCAAAACTATATATTGACCTCCAAAAACAAACATTTTATAAATGCTAATTAAGTACATGATCTCTGTCCTGCATCATTCACGACTATATAGTAAAATATTAAATGCTCATCAAAGACTTCATGAACAATAGTCACTTCTTATGGTCAGAAAAGAAACTTAGTTTTAAAATCCCCAGAATACCAAGTTGTGACATGCAATCAACAAATAAAGAAAAGAGACTCAAACGGCTGGGTCAATATTATGTTCCACACAACACTTTAACGATAACAAACGTCTACTTGGGACACACTCTGCTGCTCTTGATATGTATGTCAGACATAGTTTTACTTCAAAGAAAAAAAAAATATTTTATATTCTTTTTCCACTGATGTCTACATCAAGGCTGTCGGGACTTAAGTTATTAGTCATTGTCAAAAGTCACTTTTAATCTTCAGCATTCCAAAACCATGGCATGGTAAAAGTTAGTTGGTGAAAGTCTTGCTGACACCTTGTGAGCCTAAAGGGTAGGTTAAGGCTTAAAGGGGGAAACCCAGGTACAGTGACCTGAATGGAAACCCCAGGTAAGAGAGATCCAAAATTGAAATTTTTAGTGGATTTCTCCAGATATAAAATGTAAGCCTAAATGACTAACTCATATTTTAGAATTTAAATATATCTGACCTAAAAAAGAACTTCATACCTATTCATGCAACCAAATTTCTAATAAAACAAAATGAGAAATTATTTACTGTTTCAACAGTAGGTTCTGTCCTGGCTCTTTTTCTCTTAGGCTCTCCAGTAGGTGTTTGTGTTGATAATGCACTTGAGTCTTGACTCGGAATAGGTGGTGGTTGGGAACTTACAACTATGGACAAGAGGAAAAATTTTTTTTTAAAATAAAAAAAAAAAAACCATTCCACTATTTAAACACTTCAACATCATAAGGTGTGAACTAGAGATTTTATTGTAAAGTTCATTGAAAAGAAATGTAAAGCTATTTTTCAACTTACCCGTCTTCTCCTCCTTTTTTTCTTTCTCTTTTGAATCCTTTTCTACCTCTTTTTCTTTCTTTTTATCTGGCGCAGAGGGTTGTGGAGTAGATGGTCGTTGGCGAGGCTCTTTTTCCTTTTTTTCTTTCTCTTTTGTTTTTTCTTTGGGAGTTTTCTCCCCTGGCAACTTATCCTTTTCCTTTGGTTCCTTCAGGACATCCTTTTCCTTATCCTTCTCTTTTGGTGTGCCCTTTTCTTTGTCTTTTTCCTTCCCACTTCCAGATGGTGTTTTAGGCTTTGTGGCATCCTTTTCCAACTTCTTGGCTGCTTTGTTTTTTTTAGTCTGTGCTCTGTTGATAAGTGATCAGTAAGTGACATTGAATTATAGCAGCTTAAATTTGAAGAAAATATTGTAACCGAGTTAAAGTGATCTAGTTTTAAAATGATTTTTCATATTTTTAAATAAGGAATTGAACCATGGTTCTTAAGAAGTAACTGAACTGACCCATGATATTATTAAATAAGTACCGAAACTAAAATGACCCATGATATTATTAAATAAGTACCGAATCTAAAATGACCCATGATATTATTAAATAAGTATTGAACTGACCCACGGTTCTTAAGAAGCAACTGAACTGACCCATGATATTATTAAATAAGTAACTGAACTGACCCACGGTTCTTAAGAAGCAACTGAACTGACCCATGATATTATTAAATAACTACTGAACTGACCAATGATATTATTAAATAAGCACTTAACTGACACATGATATTATTAAATAAGTAACAGAACTGACCCATGGTTCTTAAGAAGCTCTTTCTGTTTTTGAATCCCAGCTTCATTGTTTTTGACAACTCTGCTTTCTTGCACCCATTCATCCCAGCTGAAAGCAATCCTCAAACATGTTATGTTGATAGAAAATTAACCCACAGATAGCAGTGTAAGCTTAGAGATTTTAAACACATTATTGCTTTTGGAAACCATGATCATTCTTTTTAGAAAAACGATAATCTAATCAAAATATTTTAAACAACTTAAACAAAATAATTACACATGACCTTTAACATTACAATTTATGTAATAAAACATCTATCAACATTTAAATGGGTAGTGGCTGCACCATATGGGTGGTGGCCGCACCATAGTGACAGTGAGTGGTATAGTGAGCAAAATCATTGACAATTATAAAAACTTGTAAACCCAACCTAATGTTGCAGCTCAATAATATTTATTTTAAAAAATAGACCATCTGGAAAATATTTTGTACATTAACAAATCAGGTTAACCCTCGAACTGTGGTCAGCTGACGAAACCGGCAGATATTCTCGTTCTGCGCCGTGGCGGCCGAAAAAACTGGCCGATAAAAAACATGGTCCAATAGCAAATTCCAATCCAATATTTAAACGAAATAATAGCCACTTCCTGTTATTAATAATTAAATCAACTTCCGGGTCAAGCTGTTTCTTGATAACTTAACAATAAGCACTTTTTAATCGGAATTTTATATCTCTGATTTTTTTAAAGCTAAAATGGCGGAAGCTATGGCCGGGCCTTCAGTGCGAGAACTAATATAAATATTTTTGAAAGCTTTTTAGGTGAGGATTTAAGTGATAGTGATGATGATTTTAACATTCCCCATGACGATATCAGTTGAGATTATTCTTCTTTTGAATGTTATACTAGTCTTAGTGATTCTGAAGTAGGCCTACTGAGGCTACGGTTTGACTTCGAGCCAGGCCCGAGGTTGGGCAAGGACTGACTGAATTTTAGTCACAGAAGCTACAGATTATAGATCAGAACTAATAAATTTTATAGTTTAACAACCCAAATCAGTTCCACAATTCCTTTTTAAATGTTTACTAGTCAATAATAACTATTTTGCCTGAGATTTTGTACTTGGTTTTAGTTGTGGTCCCAGTTTCTTATATAAATGACCTAAAATTACTAAAATTGCTTTCAGCAGTTTAATTGTAATCAAAAACTTAGCAAACTTTACATTTTCTGAAAGATAAATGAATTGGCTACAACATTTAGATTTGTATTTTAAGTGTATCTATACAAATTAATGATGTTATGAGCACTTGAAAGCAAGACATTTTATTGATTTTATTTTCTTGAGCACTCCAAGGTCAAGGACACTGAGCAAAATTTTTTTTACGGGGTGGGCAATATAGCCAACTTTATCACCATCCATTTACCTTTCACTCGTGTGAGATGCTGATCTTCTATCGAGCGCCTCCCCAGCCGGCGGATAGGGGAAAGCCCGCCAGATATGGAGGGTACCGGGGAAATACCCGGGGTGGACCAAAATCAGCCCTACTGCCTTGTAGGAAGTGGAGGGATCCACAAAGGCTAGGGACCTAACCCGAACAAAGGCAGCTACCTATTGAGCTGTGAGGGGCAACCCCCCAAGTGGTTGTGCGCAAGGCCAACAACCCTGCCATGTAAAAAATCATAGTTACAAAAGCACCGAAAAGAGTAACAAAAGACATTTCAGTCCTGGGAGAGGATGGATTCCTTGAGGAGGAAAATATGACGCCTAATAGTGAAAGCCGAAACCTGGAAGCTATTAAGCCGACAACCATCATCTCTACCAGGACTACCACCGTCATTGGCGCTTGGAATGTCCGCACCATGTACGAGGCTGGTAAAGCGGCACAAATAGCCGCTGAGATGAGGAGCTATAAGCTCACCATTCTCGGAATTAGTGAAGCAAGATGGACTGGATGGGGACAGAAGAGATTAATCTCAGGAGAGATGGTGATATTTTCGGGACACGAAGAAGACAATGCCCCACATACCCTGGGTGTTGCTATGATGCTATCAAGGGCAGCACAAGGAGCACTCATTGGATGGGAGGCCCATGGACCTAGAATTCTTTTAGCAACCTTTCGAACAAAGAAACGTAGCATCAACCTAGATGTTATACAATGCTACGCACCAACTAATGAAAGTGATGAAGGAGACAAAGAAGAATTCTACAATAGAGTAATGACCATAGTCCAGGATCGCCCACGGAGGAACATCGTCATCCTCATGGGAGACTTTAATGCCAAGATCGGCAATAGCAACACAGGGTACGAAGAGGTTATGGGACAGCAAGGGATAGGCGAGATGAACGACAATGGTGAGAGGTTTGCGGACCTATGTGCCACAGCTGACCTGGTCATAGGGGGGAGCATTTTCCAGCACAAGAGGATTCACAAAGCTACATGGGTCTCTCCGGACATGAGAACGATGAACCAAATAGACCATGTATGTATTTGTAAAAAATTCAGGCGATCTCTCCAAGACGTACGTGTTAAGAGGGGAGCTGATATTGCCTCAGATCATCATCTTCTTGTGGCCAGGATGAAATTAAAACTAAAGAGACATTATACCGAGCAAACAGCATACAGGACTCGGTATAATACCTCCCTCCTGAAGGACCAAGCCAAAAAGGAAGAATTCAGAATCTCACTATTCAATAAGTTCCAAGTCCTACAAGAAATACTTGAAGATGAAACCACCGAAGGAAAGTGGCAAAGCATGAAAGAAACAGTCCAGTCAACATGTCAAGAAGTGCTAGGAAACAGGAAAAAGGCACACAAAGAATGGATGACAGCAGGTACGCTGAATAAAATAGAAGAAAGGAAAAGAAAGAAATCAGAAGTGAATAACAGCCGCACCCGAGCACAGAAAAACAAGTCCCAGAAGGAGTATGCAGATGCAAATAAGGAAGTTAAGAAAAGCATCAAGAGGGACAAGAAGGAATTTGTTGATAAACTTGCTAAAGAAGCAGAGGATGCAGCTCACCAGGGGAACATGAGGGAACTGTTTGATACCATTAAGACGCTGTCAGGGAAATTTAGCAAGGTAGAGAGACCAGTGAAGGACAAAATGGGAAACACCATACCAAGTGAGGAGCAACAGAGAGGGAGATGGAAGGAGCACTTTGAAGAGCTCCTGAACAGGCCTGAACCAAGAAATCCACCAGATATCCAACCAGCCGATAATGACCTGCTAATTGACTGTAATAGTCCCACCAAAGAAGAGATTAGCAGGGCCATTAAACAACTCAGAAATGGAAAGGCTGCGGGACCTGATGGCATCCCAGCAGAGGCACTGAAGGCGGACCTGGAAACCAGTGTGGAAATGCTACACCCTCTGTTTATGAAGATATGGAAAGAGGAGCAAGTTCCTTCCGATTGGAAAGAGGGATACCTTAGCAAGATCCCAAAGAAGGGAGACTTAAGCTCCTGCTCGAACTACAGAGGGATCACCATGCTGTCCATCCCAGGAAAGGTTTTCAACCGTGTACTACTTAATAGGATGAAAACGCTGTAGACCCTCTGTTGCGGGACGAACAAGCCGGCTTTCGCACCAACAGATCCTGCACGGACCAGATAGCGACACTGCGCATCATTCTAGAGCAGTCACTAGAGTGGAACTTGCCGCTCTATGTCAACTTTGTTGACTATGAAAAAGCCTTCGACAGTGTTGACAGGCAAACCCTGTGGAGATTGCTAAGGCATTACGGGGTGCCACAGAAGATTACTGATATAATCAGAAACATGTACGAAGGGATAAACTGCCGAGTTATCCATGGCCAGCAGTTGACAGATGCTTTCCAGGTGAAGACTGGTGTGAGACAAGGTTGCTTGCTGTCACCATTCCTCTTCCTGTTAGCCATTGACTGGGTGATGAAAACATCTACACAGCAGAAAAGGAATGGCATCCAATGGACCTTGTGGGATCAACTGGATGATCTTGACTTTGCTGATGATCTTGCACTTCTTGCACATACCCAACAACAGATGCAGGAGAAAACAAACATTGTCGCAGCCACTTCTGCTAGCATGGGTCTCAACATTCACAAAGGGAAGAGTAAAATCCTCAAGGTTAATGCCACCAGTACATCACCCATTATGCTTGAAGGAGAAGCCCTTGAGGAGGTGGACAGTTTTGTTTACCTTGGCAGCATGGTAGATAAACAAGGTGGTACAGATGCGGACGTCAAAATAAGGATAGGAAAAGCAAGAGCAGCCTTCCAACAACTCAAGAATGTTTGGGTCTCTAACAACTTAGGCAGCAAGTTAAAAGTAAGGATTTTTAACGCTATGGTAAAACCTGTGCTGCTATATGGAGCCGAGACATGGAGAACAACGGCCGTAAACCTGACCAGAATCCAGTCCTTCATCAACAACTGTCTAAGAAGGATTCTCAGAATTCACTGGCCAGACAAAATCAGCAACCAGGAACTGTGGCAGCGGACAAAACAGAAACCCATTGAGGAAGAGATTCTCCAGAAGCGGTGGAGGTGGATTGGTCATACACTAAGAAAACCTGCTTCTAACACAACAAAGCAAGCCCTGAAATGGAACCCACAGGGTAAGCGGAAAAGAGGCCGTCCAAGAAACACTTGGCGCTGAGAATTGGAGACAGACATCAAGAAAATTGGCCATGAATGGAAGATCCTGGAGAAGCTGGCCCAGGATAGAGATGCCTGGAGGTCTCTCGTAGGTGGCCTATGCCCTTGGAGGAACCGCAGACGCCGACGATGATCGGTGGATGCCCCTCATGGACGAGAAGGCTCAACAACAACAACAATTTACCTTTCTAAAAATATATAATTATTGGGGTCTTGCATCAATATTTCTATGTCATTTAATGCAATTTTAAAAGGCACTCAAAAAGCTCTGTAAAGCTCCACACCACAGAATGATGCAAGCCAGAGTTCAAGGGTTAACCAAAAGATATACAATATTTAAGCTATTTATGCAAATGTGACCAATGTTCACTGCCGCTTTCAAAATTTGATTAGCATCCAGTCAAAAATCAAAACAAGGTAATGGTATATAATACTATATACGTCCCTTTTAATTTCTAGCTGCAAGCATAAAACGTAAGAGTTTGCAACACAAAAAGAATTTAACATTTTAAAACAAAATTAAGTTTACAATAAAATGGAAAATATGTAGTTATCTGTGTCCACACAAATTTCAGATAAAACATTTCTGGTCTTAACAATTATGTCTTGAAAGTACCTGATATATTATTATGAAGCTAATAAAGCTTTTTATATGTTAAAATTATATTTCTACTACCGATTATAGGATAACCAAACATACAGATATCAATCAACCTAATTAAGCATCATATTGAGTGGGTAAATTAAAACATCAAAATGTTTAATTTACAAAAAGATTTATCTGTATACAAGGCAACATTTAATGTACAAGAAAATATGTTATATTTTTTTTAAAATAAAACCCAGGATAACTTGTAACAAGAATGATAATTATAACAACATAAGATGCTCTAACTTTTGTTGTTTTTAAAACTACTTTTTAGCATGGCTTTCGGTGAAGCATTGGGTTGTTAGATTCTTCAAACCAATCAATGTATAGGAATTAATTTTTAAATTTTATAATCATTAAAAAAAAATACCCTTGAATAAATAATAAAATTGACCATTGTTAATGGAGTGGAACTTAGTCATTTATAATAGGTGAATGGTACAATGATTTATGTCGAGCTTACTTTTTATTCCAGCCATTGTAGTGAATGAGATACTGAACTTTGCCATCTTTCACTTCCATACGCATACACTGTCAAGTAAATTTAAAAAAGCATTGAATAAAACAATCTTTAATAAGAAAATTAGTACCGTAGAGGATACCTGTGATAATATAAAAAAAAATATAAAAAATCACTGTTGAAACATCTCTGCCAGTTTATAATTGTCTATCTTATACATCAAAACATTATTTCAAGTATTTAATCTAACCTTAATTATACTTATTTATTGAATGGGTAGAGACATTTCAACCATATTCGTTCAAAAAATCTGGGTTGAAAATGTACCTACCTTAGCCTCATAGAGAAGTGGTCCATGGTAGCATAAAACCTTTTCTCCTTTTGGTAAATATAAAAAGTTTACAATTAATATGTGCTACATGCTAAATACATATCGTAAAAAACATTCTTTTCAACCCCCATTGGAGCATAGGCCATTAACAATATCTTTCCATGCCCTCCGGTCACGTGCCTTTTACCATAAATCATTCCAACTCTTTCCGAACTTAAGTACATCTTTGTCTACCGGTATAGGCCAAGAGTTTTTGGGTCTCCCCCATCCTCTTGATCCTTAAGGGTTCAATGCTTAGTTATATTTAACTAAGGTTTTCTTATAGTATGACAGATTCTTCTCCACCTAATTTTCCACATTTTTGGCACCACAGACCATACGTACATGTTATCCATAATTTTGATTTGGTAATGTAAATGCAGACAGAACATAAAAGTACATACAGCACATACAAGTCTTTCTATTTGAAAAGTGTTAAAAAAATGAGAAGGTGTTGGCGATAAATCTATCTACAGAGTTTTAAAAGTTATTAAAGGCTTCTGTTCTGAATTCTCTTGAACTACTCTTATATAAGTATAAGTTGTCAGAACACACATAGGATCCATATTTTTAAGACTGTCATATGAGACCAATTAGAGGAATTCATCAGAAGTTGTGCTGACATTGCAACGAAATACTTCTTGACTGTTATCTATGATAGCCTTGACCTTGTAGACACATGACTAGTGTTGAGTAATAGCCAATTTTTAAAACGAAGTGTCTACACGTCCGGCGTGCCGGCCAAATAGTGCGGGCGATATACGTCACGTGGCCGCCGGGCGATTGGAAGGCTTTATTATTCCGGCATGTCATGTGACAAGTGGTTGCCGGCAAAATAGTTGCATTGCATTTGATATTTCGATCCCTAGATAATAAATAAATGCTGAACATGTTAATATATTCAAATGCTCTGAGATACATAAAGTGGTTGACTTAGAATATTAAACCAGTCGGCCTATATACTAACTAGTAGTACTATTACTACTATTATTACTATTTGATTCCGACTCTTCAAAGAAAAAAGAATCTTATCTTGGTTAAACATCTTGTAAAGCTATACCTTGAAGCCTAAATTTAAAATATGAACAAAATAAAATAAGACCAGTAGACTTCAATAGACCTAAGACAATAAAGTTGTATTTCAGGATTAGTATTTAGTATTGCATGAGAAGTAGGCTAGGCTACCACTATATCGGACTTATATTAAGATGTAGGGTCTTTATCTCGATAAAATATTCTTCCGGCGGTCATGTGACTTGATCACAGGACGAATATCTCGATAAAGTATTCTTCCGGCGGTCATGTGACTTGGTCGCCGGACAAATAGTGCGGGAGATATACATCCGGCGCTTAAAAATTCTTTTTGTCTTGATTATCCTATAGAGAGACAGCATTTAACTAATAGGCTATAAATAATGAAATAAGTTGATTCTTTAACATATATACCCAAAAAAGTTTAAAACTAAAAAAAATACTCTAGGCCCCTGCCCCTATTTCATTACATTTATACTGTCATACTGAATTTATGACACTATCCAACAGTGCCAAGCGTACTAGCAATGCTGGCAATGGCTAGTGCAGTGTTTTCCAAATGTGTGTTGCGACACAGTAGTTTTGCCGGCAGGTTGTAGGTGTGTCACGCAAAATAATCCACATCAAGATTAATACATTTATTTAGACTTTAAAAAGGCTGGAAATTTTAAAAAATGGACTGGTACGAATGGTAAATTATGAAAAGCAGACCTATTCACTCATGATATTTTTCAAATATTTGTGAAGCAATCGGGTCAAAATTGCAACTTTATTCGTTGAACAAATACGGGTTGAAAATGCTCAGTGAAGAACTGTAAAGTTATCCCACACATGACATTGTTTGTTAATGATTGTTCAGGTCCAACAGTCTATTCAATCTTCCATTGTTTAGGTACTTGAATACAAATATAAAAAAAATTGAAATAATTTTTTAAATAATACAGTTAGTTAGAACAATTTCAAATAAAAAATGAAACCAGAATCAACTTTTTAGCTTAAGTACTTTTTGAGCTATGAATTTTTAAAGTGTGAGTTCGTTTGGTATTTTTTACTATGGACGAAACCTCCACATCTTGTGACCTCATTCCGCTGATCGCGTCATGCGCAATGACTATATTCTTTATATAAGGCAACGCATCCCCTATCACTAAAATACTGTTTAGGGTCGACTTAGTTTCAACTTTGGCACATGAATAATTAATTAAAGCTTTCCCTGACCAATGGTTTAATAGTTTTTGCACACGGCAAACTCTTATGAATGAAACTCTGAGGTAGTACTACAATACAGCCATTATGCAAGTGGCTGTGAATAGTTGCCAATGACAAGGTGTTGCACACAGTATATTCTGATCATTTATAATATGGACTCTACCAGGTTTTTAAAGCTCAAATTAAAACATTCCTGTTTAAATGTCTTCAAAATGCATTCTGAAACACAAGTTATCAAATATTTTGATGTGAATAGTGGTAGTAATTTAATATTTCCTTAGTATCGGCAACTTCCGCCATTAAAAAGGGGGCGTGGCCCACGCCATATCGAAATTAGGCTGAGCGAACTGCATGGCGAACCCGTAGAAACATGGCATCTCTCGTAAAACACATATTGCTGTGAAAATTGGCATACATGTAGATCAAAAGATGCCCCAGCTGCATAAAAAAATTGGTATTGACATATCTTTTACTTCAACTTCATTTTAATGGTTGAAGTTGCCTTATATTCACCAAGGATTTTCTCAAAGCCGACCGATTGTAAATGAAAAAGAAATTGATTAAAATGTAGGCCAAGATGTCCTCTAAAGCGAAAGGCCGGAAGAGGAACACAATTCTGGGATATAGTAATTATTTTATGAATGAAATAGTTCCACTACCAAAAAATTAAAAACTCGTATTTTTGCCTGCCGATGCCTATTTCCCATACTAATTTTTTAGTAGTCTCCCTTGCTTCATCGAAGTACCTACAGTGTTTAATTTCCCAAAGTGATGTCACTGCGCCAAGAGTTAGACCACCCTTGACCTAAGCCATATCACTAACCCACAATAGAAACACTGCCACTATAACCATAGTCTATTAATATTTAATATTATTATATATTAATTATAATTATAACTTAACAACTAGTATTTATTAGTAGGCCCTACTAGTAAATTTTAGTCCCTAATTTTAAATTTAGTAGTAATAGTCACCTACTAACTAGAATTTTACTGTTAGAGGTAATTTTTTAATGATTTTACAAAGAGGTTCTTAAATGAGACAGAAATGCCTAGATAATACCTTCTTGAAATTTGGCTTTAGGTGCCATTATAAAATCTTTCAGTCAAAAACAAATTTGAGGTTTTTTCTCGTAAGCCGCCAGAAAAAATAAAGGATATGTGAAGTACGAAACAGAATTTGCGGAAGGAAAACTTTAACTTTAAGCAATGAAGAGTGAAAGAAATCCGGTGTAGAAATTTAGAAAGATCTCACCAAATTAATTACTATTAACAACCAAAAATAATTCTTAAGATTAAAATCACTAAAAATATATAAAAAATTAATATAACTAATATAATGTTTGCAGATATTAATAGGTCAGTAGGATGTGCATTTTAAGCGAAAGCAGCAATTCATCTTCTAATTACACATGGCAAAAAAAAAAAAAAAACCAACAAAAAACGTTTTTCTTGGGACGTTAGTCTATTGGTGGCACAGTTTCCGAAAATAGCATCGAATTTATCTTAACAGCTCTTGATTTTTTTTAATCATTAAATTTAACTTCATCTTTTGTACCGAAAAAATAAATTATTATTGTTCGTTTTGTTTTGAAATGACTTACGTTATAATATTTAGGTGGATAACTCTCGTATGAGTTATTGCCTGCTATTGTCTAGGGGTTTTATGTGTGATCCAATACACACATATTTATTAAATATTAAATGAATGATATTATATGGTCATAATTCGTATCATATTCACTTAGTCAAAAAAATCGTACATTTCATACAATGAAATGAACTTATTTATTTACATAACATTTACAACACTTCTTAGAGGTTATACAATTTTACGGATATGATAATGAGAATTAATAGCATCTAATAATGTTTAGTTTTTTTTTTTGAACGCACTAAACTAAATAGTAAAACAAATTAATGCGTTCAAAAAGAAATTTGACGCAAAATTTTAACGTGTGAACTGAAAAAAAAAAAAAAAAGATTCGACCAAATTTCCGTTCGATCAAATTTCCGTTGATCAATTTTCTGTCCACGAAATTTCTTTCAAACAAATTTCCGAATCGACAAAAAAGAATACTCGCCAGATCTATAGTCTTTGAAAATATCAGTTAATATTAAACTAAACATATTAATGTGAATTGTGTAGACATGAACATGATCTCCCCTTCCCTTCCCTTTTTTATAGTTTCTTCAAATATGAAAATGCGGAGAAGGAAATATGGTGTTGACAGAAAAGTAAACAATAAAGCTTTAGTAGCACAAATAGAGTTATTCTAATGAAAATATATTTGCATCCAAGCCTGTCTCATAAAACAGTTTGTAAACGCTTTAAATAAAACATCCAATTCACAGCGAGTATGGACTTTTCTCACGGACAAAATGAAAAGCTGGAATGTGATGGTTGTCACAAATGACTGGAGTGGGGTGTAACAATGGCGCTCCATTTGCTTTTTCATGTAATTTATAATGTGTTTGTTCGGAATTTTCCGATATTTGGCACCAGTTTTACTTAATAAAGAATGAGTGATGGGCGATTTCCGGGAGAGGAAGAAAAAATGTTTTGAGGTTAAGGAGCGTGGAAGATTACTGAATGTTTTAGGAAGTTGGGAAGCGTTAAAGACTAATGGATGTTAACGGTGAAAGAGAATATTGTTAGACTGTATTGGATCTATTAATACATTCTTTGTTGATAGTTGTTAATGAGGAATTTATTGGTCATTCTTTGAAGTCTGTGTTGTCTTCGTTATATTTCCTCGACGTCTGGACACTGAACTTTCACAGAGAGGAGCAACCCCTGCATCAACCAACACCAATACTACTTGGTACGCAACGGGCAATACCTCATACTACCATCATCTAATCTGTGACATTCGTCCACGGATAAGAAGCAGCATACACGACCAACCTTTGATAAAAATCAATGAATGAAGCTGAAACATATTCAGGGCCTCTGTTTATTCTTGTTGCGCAAATAAAAAAAAAATTCATTCATTCATTAAAAAAAAATGTTATGCAATGAATCAGATTGGTGTCTAGTGAAGTGAACAATTTCACCATGACATATAAAAAAAAAATGGTAGCCAGATACCAAGGTAGATTAAATGCACATACGGGGTTGTCCAAAAATTATTTCAACAAAGGGGGGTGGGGGGATGGAAATTGTGGACAATTATTGAAAAAAAAAAAGGGGGGGGGGNGCACATTTTAATAGAGCACATTTTAATAGAGCACATTTTAATAGAGCACATTTTAATAGAGCACATTTTAATAGAGCACATTTTAATAGAGCACATTTTAATAGAGCACATTTTAATAGAGCACATTTTAATAGAGCACATTTTAATAGAGCACATTTTAATAGAGCACATTTTAATAGAGCACATTTTAATAGAGCACATTTTAATAGAGCACATTTTAATAGAGCACATTTTAATAGAGCACATTTTAATAGAGCACATTTTAATAGAGCACATTTTAATAGAGCACATTTTAATAGAGCACATTTTAATAGAGCACATTTTAATAGAGCACATTTTAATAGAGCACATTTTAATAGAGCACATTTTAATAGAGCACATTTTAATAGAGCACATTTTAATAGAGCACATTTTAATAGAGCACATTTTAATAGAGCACATTTTAATAGAGCACATTTTAATAGAGCACATTTTAATAGAGCACATTTTAATAGAGCACATTTTAATAGAGCACATTTTAATAGAGCACATTTTAATAGAGCACATTTTAATAGAGCACATTTTAATAGAGCACATGTTTCAGTAAATAAATAAAACTAGGGTTTAACCGAGTGTTGTTTTTGACAACAGCTCTGGGCATTTCCAGAAGTAGGCCTACAGACAGTCCTACGCCCTACCTGGCACCCTTAAACAGTAGTCCTACAGACAGTCCTACACCCTACCTGTCGGCCCTTAAACAGTAGTCCTACGCCCTACCTGTCGGCCCTTAAACAGTAGTCCTACAGACAGTCCTACGCCCTACCTGTCGGCCCTTAAACAGTAGGCCTACAGACAGTCCTACGCCCTACCTGGCACCCTTAAACAGTAGTCCTACAGACAGTCCTACACCCTACCTGTCGGCCCTTAAACAGTAGTCCTACAGACAGTCCTACACCCTACCTGTCAGCCCTTAAACAGTAGTCCTACAGACAGTCCTACACCCTACCTGTCGGCCCTTAAACAGTAGTCCTACAGACAGTCCTACGCCCTACCTGTCGGCCCTTAAACAGTAGTCCTACAGACAGTCCTACACCCTACCTGTCGTCCCTTAAACAGTAGTCCTACAGACAGTCCTACACCCTTCCTGTCGGCCCTTAAACAGTAGTCCTACAGCCAGTCCTACACCCTACCTGTCAGCCCTTAAACAGTAGTCCTACAGACAGTCCTACACCCTACCTGTCGGCCCTTAAACAGTAGTCCTACAGACAGTCCTACACCCTACCTGTCGGCCCTTAAACAGTAGTCCTACAGACAGTCCTACGCCCTACCTGTCGACCCTTAAACAGTAGTCCTACAGCCAGTCCTACAGCCTTCCTGTCGGCCCTTAAACAGTAGTCCTACAGCCAGTCCTACACCCTACCTGTCGGCCCTTAAACAGTAGTCCTACAGACAGTCCTACACACTACCTGGTGGCCTTAAAACAACAGTTCAGCAAACAGGCCTACAGACATCCTTGCACCGGACCTGGTGGTATTTAAAAAATAGTCCTAGAGACAATCTTTCAGGCAGTGCAACAAACAGTCCTACACCATACCCGTGGCTCTTTATTGATTAATATAATAGTCGCCTCCGAAAAATTCAATCTTCTTACCTGGGTTCAACCGTCAAGCATGACGCTCACTGCTCTACCCGCCCGCCCCCCCCCCCCCATTCGTTACAAGTAATATAAACAAATGTATGTTGAGTTTGGGGTCGACCGGTTGTGAATACGAAGCAGCCACGCCAGAAGAGAAAAAATATATAAGAGATAATGGATAATACTTCATGCTTAATAATGAAACATGTTCTATATCCCAAAAATCATCTGGTGCAATTTTTGGAATCATCGATTTAAATAAATCTTTAACAAAAGTTTAACATATGAGGCACCACATTTTGTGTTGGTTAGTGTTATAAATGATTGTGAATGGTTCAATCATAATAATTAAGATAGTTTAATTAATAATTTTTTAAAAAAATATAATAATCACAATCATTGTAAATGAAACAGTAAGAACATGTTATGTGATAGTATGAATGCATTACAAGACAATCAAATGAATGTTTCAACCGAAAATCTGCATCAGCAAACTATAACACCAGCAAGAGTGGAGAATGAAGATAAATTAACTTATTTTTTTTCTCCTCTAGCATATCGCCGAATGGAATCTTTCAAATACTTATCGTCTACTTACTAATGTACACAAAATCAACCCCAGCACCCCTGGTGGATGGGACTCGAAAACAACACCAGGACCCCTGTTGGATGGGACTCGATTCTGATTCTTAAATCAAACTCGCATATGGAGTCCGGTTAGGACTTCGAGACAATGAGTGACACAATGAAAGTAACGACATCTCCTGCGACGTGGAACGCACAAAGAGCACAGAGAAACATACAAAAGATCCTTCTGGCTATTAACTGGATCCTGCTATATTTCCAGTTGTTGTCTTGGCGAAGTCTTGCCATTGGATCAAATAGACAATGATGAGAGAGTGAGGCTGATGAATTGAGCAACTCTCCCTCACTTTAAACAAAATAAAACTCTCTGGTACTCAGTTAAATATTGCCTCGGTCATCTTCGCATGTGAACAGTATAATATAATATAATATAATATAATATAATATAATATAATATAATATAATATAATATAATATAATATATATATTATATTATATTATATTATATTATATTATATTATATTATATTTATAATATAATATAATATAATATAATATAATATAATATAATATAATATAATATAATGTAATGTAATGTAATGTAATGTAATATAATGTAATATAATATAATATAGTATAATATAACATAATATAATATAATATAATATAATATAATATAATATAATATAATATAATATAATATAATATAATATAATATAATATAATATAATATAATATAATATAATATACTTACGAATTAAACTCCATTTCCCTTAATTTTATCATTACACTATTT